TCACTTTTGTTTCTAACTGGTCTACTTTACTCGCTTTCTTTTGAACTACCTCCATGACTTTTCGTAAGTCTTTCAATTCATTTTCGGTTTTGATAAATCTATCTTGAAGTAATGCATATTGTCGAATTTGCTCATCCAGTCTCGCTAATATTTCTAATCGAAACTCCTGTAGTACTTCACTTGGTGTGTTATCGTGTCCAAGAACCGATTTCGTTTCCGCTTCCTTCTGGTTGCGACGACAACTGCGCTGAGTATTTACTTTGCCGTCACTCGCCCCAGCCGCCAAGGTTTTATCCACCGTACTTCCTCGAACAGGGGTGTCGGAATTCCCTCGTTTTGGAATAGCACTCACACATACTGGACACATCCACTTTTTTTTATAATCTTGTGTAAATGTTTCATACTTCTCCGTCGTCACTGCCAAACATTTAAGATGGTAAGGCTTCTTGCACTTTCCTTGGGAACACTCCATATACACCTTATCAGTAATATCGGCATCGCAGCCGTTACATTTCGTACCCATCTAGTGAGAACAAAATCTTAACTATTTAACTCAACAAAATACACGTCCGATCACTTTCGTTGCGTGCGGGTATATATAATATATTGGCAACACGGCGAGACACGGCGCGCGGCTCAATACGTGACGGTGTGCTCTCGGCCGCGTGCACAGGAATAAACACTACAATAAAATAGTTCCTCTGTTCCTGCCATGCTCACACAACCGTGTAACTACATTCCTACTGCCTGATCACTCAGCTGTAAGCACAGAACTCAGCACAGAATATGCACAGATCAGCATCAAGTATATTCCAATAAACAGAAGTCACTCGTGTTTGCACGATTCACAAAATATGCTTCAAAAGCTAAATCTTTAATATTACGACTCACGTTCAGACTTATTTGAATCAAACACATTTTTTTTAATATTCACTCATCTGCAGGTTAATATGAGAGCTGTGTAAATGTGGAGTAGGGTCATGGATCTCTCCATGATGAATTAAGAAGAAAACGATTTCAAACCACGTAAGAAAAAGTAGAATAATAATAATAATATAATAATAATAAAAATCTTTATTTTCTCAAAATACTCTAAGGATACAAATTATATAATATGTTACAATAAAGAGAGACTGGTGTCTGTTAAAGGTATAACCTGTGTTACAGATCACCAGAATGAAGAATGGTAATTAATAATTAGGTCAAGTACGACCACGATTAGTATTCATATTGACTACTTTATCAAGTTTTTATGTTTAGAGTCTATTTATAAAACAAAAAGTGTCGCTCACAAACTCTGTTACATTTCCCCCGAACTTATAGATCGGCTTCAAAAACTTGATTAAAGTTTAGGCTATAGAAGTGGAGGCGTGACGGCAATGATTGATTTGCAGAATTGAAACATTTTGAAATAGCAGTCAAGTAATATTGACGATAAAATAATTATGAAAGAGTGTCTCGTGCCGGTTGCGGGCCGGGTGCGGGCCGGGTGCGGGTCGGATCCGGGCCGGATGTTGTGGCCGGGCCGGGTATCGATCGCCGATGGAAATATACTCGCTTTATACTTAATCACCTTCCTAACACCTGTAGCGGGTAACGAGGCCGTTTGTATAATAACTCTATACATTATCAGTAATCAATATATTCGAATTACTATTTGTAATGACATTTTGTAATTACACGGTTTCATACGACAAACACGTAGTAGTCTGAAAAGTGAGTAATAGAATATATTAACAATATTATTGTAAACGTTAGATATCTTCTAAATACTGGTCATTAAGAAGGCCCGCGGCCGTCGGTCGGCTCAGAGGTAAGAACATTTATTTTAATTACACCTGTTAGCTGGTAATTTGTTAGACGTTAGTACGCCGCCATAGTCTCCCGTCGCGAAAAATTACTAAAAAATCTTTATATCAACCGTTATTTGTCAGTTATTTATACTCGAGGGAGAAGTAAAGTATCTCTACAATTGTGAGTAAAGCTCGCAAGATTTCATGCAAATAAAGTAATTCCAAAGTACGTACTGTGTTTATATTTCACAGGCGTGCGTCGAGTACAAACACACCGAGATTTACTTCAAACGGAATACAATAAGTTTAAAACTTACATAAACACGTATCTCATTACACCGCGGAGCACTACTGCGGTACCTCCAGTATACAGCTTGAGCTCTATTTGAGAAACATCTTCGAATACCTTCACGTTTTGTAACCAAACTACTCCACGATTTATACTATTTTTATTTTGAGGTAATTTACCACGACTGAAACTTCCTTGTTAAATGATTACGTATGTAATGAAGTCATTATCATGTCCGAAAATAAAACAAAATTCATTTCATTGTTTTCAATTACCGACGGCGCGGCTATATTTCGGTCTGCCTATATTTAGGTTTAAGTGAAAAAACGTTCAAAATAAATGAGGAATAATTAGGAAGTTCGATACAAAACAAGGTCGCGACACGTCGCGTTGTCTTCCACATGTCATCGGTTCTTTGTGTCTTTTGTGACAAGCAACAGTCGACGCAGTGGATGCCGACGGCCTCGTGTGTACTTTTAACGTCATTTTATTTTATAAAACATGTGTATGCCCATTATAACCAAAAAGATATCATATTCTTTAAGTAGTGTTACTAACAGTATTGTATATTATGTTATTTTCTGAAATAAAAAAAGTTATCAGTTGTAAGTACCGGTATAATTTATATCAGCAACTTGTATATGTTGCGAAAACAATTCGAACTATTTATAAAATACTTCGCGCAACAAGGTGGGCGCAAAATAATTAACTCTGAGAATCATGTAGATTATATTTCAGAAATAGAAACAAGTTTTTTAATGGTACAATTATGATGTTTCCTCATCCTAATTTAATAATAACGAAATTTTAGTCTATCAAAATGTTTTTGAAAATGAATCTCACTTCATTAATTAATTTCATGGCATACTTAGTTTTCAATTGACTTATAAAATATGACAAAACTAGTGTTACAACCACAAAAAAAAAAAATTTTTTTGACGATACTTAGAAGCATCCGAACTATATGAACAGTGTAGTGTGTGTCGTCATTTGTTTGTATGTTCCACGACACCCGCCGGTGACAGAGTGAACATTGTGCAGCCGACTGTGGCTCTGTGCCAAACATTTTCACTCACACATCGAATTACAGAGCTAATGTAATCCGTGAACTGTTTAGAGATCAACAAATACAATGTATTAACATGTTATTTTAAGACTTCTATTCATATACTATTGCCATGTTGTAATGGTAGTGTACAACACATTGCACCTCTACTCCTCCCGTGGGTGTACTATCAGTCGACTAATGCACTGCGTATTTATCAGAGGCTGGCCGCACCACTCAAGCATAGAAGGTGGAGTAAGAAGTGGGTCTTTTTAATAACGAATAATATAATGTGAACGAACGGTCAAGTTGGCCTTAAGACTCGTATAATTCTAAATTTAAGTCGGCTTGTAGTTATACATAGATTTTGAAAATAAGTTGGACCTTAATATAGTGCGTAGGAGTGTGATTAGAACACCTTCCAATAATAAATGTTACAATTATAAATAACTCCCTCCTCACGAGGGACCTCGGAGCGAAATTTAATATATCTTATAGAAGATGTTCATTTTCTCCTAAAAGAAAGTTTTGAAACTTATTAAGAGTGTCAATTTCAAATATTTACAAAGTGAAGGGAACGACTTCCGTCCGTTCAGGCTGATATTTAACTGAAACTTTCAATTATAATTACAAGTCACAGAGCGAGCCAGGAAGTACTAATGACGCTTTATTAAATCGATTTAGCGACAGGTTCCTGACCGTCACAATATCTATTCTAATCAATATTCTAACGGTTCATTGATTAATTACATTATCTTCGAGAAAACTCTTGGAAACTAGGATTTTTAAAAGAAAAAATCGAGTGTTCATCACAAGTTTAAATAAACGTTTCAACTTTTTCCAGATTAAATAGATTATCCTCTAAGATCAAATACTAAGCAAAATACTTCTTTTAAAATATTCAGATGTAAGAGCAAGTCCGGATCAGTAAATACAAAATGTTGCTACGCCGTAGCACTTGCTACGACGTGTAGCATTTCCGTAGCGCGCTTGTAGTACGTTTGACACAAGGAATCATAAAATGAAATTGTTTCAGATTTAAAACACAACGAAACACGTTTTGTAAAATACAATTATGTAGCTTTAATTTTCAAAGTCAATTAGTTAATTTGGAATAAAATCTTTTTGAAGAATTTACTTCAAAAAGCGGCCGAAACCAATTACAGCAATAAAAAACGTTACTCGTGAAGAAATTAGTGAGCAACGGACTGCGATGTGCTAGCTGATTGATTTACTGAATAGAATGTTTGCCCAGAGTTTAATTAATCATAGCAGCTTAATTAATACGTTTAAAGTTAATGAAAATTGTTTTTAAGTGAGATAATAGTTTTACATTTATCCTTAATTGTGAAACTATTTGAATATCCCAAAGTGTTGTGCCCTCAGTTAGTGGCGGGACCCTCGGTGTAGTTGTTCAGTTAATGGTACAATATTCAGGGCTCCCGCAGGAATATTATCGCGGGGCAGTTACTGACATTGTAGTGTCTGAATTAATTTAGTAAACAACGGCTGTAATGATAGGTACATTATTGTCTGTGGGACCATTCCAAATATTGTGTTAATTAATATTACTAAATATTAATATTACTGTTTTAGTAGATTTTCAAATATTTTTATTAGTGAAGAAATAAATCAAGTGAAACTATTTACCTTAATTTGGGATTTTATAATTATTCTACTTCTATGATTTTATGTGTATAATTTTACTTGTTTTTTGCAAAAGAATTACGCTTGTATTAAACTACTTTGCCAAAGATATGTCTTTTTGTGTCTAAAATACCACAAATAGTAATTTTTCGACGGTTTTCGTGGAAATTGAACCCGTTAGCCAAGGTAATAATGGTAAGAATCATCATGTGTAATGTGAACTTACCGTGATAACTCGACGTAAAGTTTTGCTGTTGGATTGACGAGCACCTTGCTGTGAGCTGCGTTGGTGACTGACGGCCTTTCGAGGGTCGGAGCCTTATATACTGGTAGCTGCGTGCGGGGGCGAGGGGCGGGGCCAATGCGCGTTACTCCCGATCTCAACTCCTCCCCATTTTGATAGCAACCTGGTGACGTAGACGTGATGTGACGTCACAGACATCATTGCTGACTTGGCTATTTGTGTTGTTCAAGTTTATAACAAATTACAATAATGGAAAGTACTTTTCTGGTATTAAACGACATTTAATATACGTCGCATGGACGTATTTCAATATATTCGTCACAAACAATAGAAAACATTTCTCTCATGTGTCCGATTACGTAAGTATAGTATAGAGCCGTAACAGCATATTGTTTAGATCATTGTCATTAGTTGGGCAACATGCCTTAGCAATATTTTCAACAAAACGCTGCGGAGTATAGGACTACGTTTTAAATCACGATTCGTAAATATAAAAGTATACTAGTTCATTTCATTGTTATTTGCAGAACAATCAGAAAATGCAGAATTTTGTACAAAATCCTGTTTGTAACTAACTACGTACTTTTTATTTTAGTAAAATGTTTGTTAAATGCATATACATAGATCGAATTACTTATGAACGCGCATTTTTTTCAATATCTGCATTCTACCAGTTGGATTTCATCATATAGAGTACATAGACATCAAAACTGTTGTTATATTACAAGGTTCGAAACTAAATTTTCTATTGCTGATAGATATTATGAGGTATACTTAGAAAAATGCTTAAATGGAACTATTTGAACGGCATCGAACCCAATTGTCCACTGTTTATAGTTGCAGTCGCGAGACCAATGAAATCATGATTTAATCATTCTTATCATATTTTACAAAGCAATTAAAGATGTTTAACAGTTATATATATATCATCTAGTCTATGAGTTGGAAGTTAAACATACGTCAACAGCAGAGAAGTCCGCACATCACATTCGTAACAACACTGGAAGCTCTCTACCTACCCCCAATTGATTTAAAGATAACTGCTACAGCTTCCTGGCAAAGTTCAGTACACATTGTGGTACGATGCAGACATCCTCGCAGTGATTACTTATCGATCAACCAGTTTTACAAGAACCCCTACAAAGTCGCCAAACGGTGAAAGAGTTCGACAGTCACTTGGAATATTAAATGTTGAACAATTCTAATCAATGCTACTCACAACTTCATCGTCTAGTGACGTGGGTAGAATGTACAAATATTTTGAACTGAGGTTTGTTTTCGAAAATAAACTGCGAGTATATCATAAAATTTTACAAATATATTAATAGTCGTTAACTGTCAGTGACATTGTTCGGATGTCTCTTTGAAACATATATAAATATTGGGTCATCCTATTACCTAGAATAAATGTCATTGCACATTAATATTTTGACGATTATCGATTATATTGAAATTCTTTGACATCACCACTTAGGAACCGATAACTAGATTCCTTGAAGAATCACACTATAATAGAAGGAACTAAGAATATAGCTTTCATGAAACTAACTTTAAAACAAAACAAAACAAAACGTAATCACTCTGTATAAGGTGTTAGCAAACCGCGACGTACGAAGAGAGCTGTTGTAGTAACATTACACCTGCACAACTTGACTATCTTAAGATATTTCGTCTCACAAACGAATGTGGTTGACTCAGACTCACACTTAAGGCACAGCTTTACTAGTTAAGCTAGATACAACGCTTTGTGTGTTGTCTTTCCGTGAGAATGCTCGATGTTAACTCTCTTCTTGTCACACAGTGCACAGAAAGTAATCTCATTGCTAAAAGTCTTTAAAGGAACAACAAGCTAAGCTACTACGAAGGCAATGCTTCCATTAAAACCACTTCTATTGTGTCTCTAAGGAATATATTAATCGATTTTGATAAATAAGTCGACGATAGAAGAAGAAGATATATCGACGTATAAGTCGAAGTAGATTATTGTTAAAATACATTGCTAATCGCTTGAACTGACGCAATGACTTCTTCGTTAAATGTCATGGATTCTATTTTTTCTCGGTAACTGTTGGTCCACAGCCAAAGTTTACAAGTATGGGAGAGCCATGCATCGGCTCGAATGGACCGGCTCGACCGAAGTGATACCACGGCCTCACAGAAAACCGACGTGAAGCAACGGTTGCATTGTGTTTCGTCTTGTGAGTGAGGTTACAGGAAGCCCAATTATCCCCTTTCCCTTCCCCAATTTCCCCAATCCCCAACGATCCTCAAACTCCTAATCCCCAAAAGGCCGGTAACGCACTTGTTTACTCTGTAACCTCTAGTGTTTCGGGTGTCCATGGGCGGCGCCGATTGCTTACCATCAAGTGATCTGTCTGCTCGTTTATCGGCTTATGCCACAAATAACCAAGCAACAATAATTTCTGAAGCACATACGTCATACATACTTAACCCGTGCAAGAATCGAACTTGCAATAAGTTACGCAGCAATCGACTAACTACTCAATTGATGTGCTGGTAGTCTTTGAAGACAGGTTTGTCATATTGTTAGGAATATTATCATTTTTTATTTTCAATTATTTTTCCACGGTGCGTATACGTACCTACGTATCTACATAGTAGTATAATATATATGCACAAGTATGTGTACTATAGTATACATGTAGTAGTGTAACAGTGGGCAGTGTAGTGGCGACCAGCTCGTTACTGTTAGCAGCTCGTAAACTGGTGATTAATGGCTGCTGGCGACACATCATTGTTTCATGACCGCTCCGATGGAAAGTATCGCCCTCACTTTACGATCGTTTAACTAATATTAGCAATTGTATTGAATTGCTGTGTGGTTCTACAATATTGTTCCGTTCATTATGACGTTTAACATATATGGTTAAATTTGCTGCGAGGGTAAGCTCAAAAGACAGTACCACCTACCACGGTCACTTAATAAATCCAAACTGTTAGACCCTGAAGTAATTAGTAACCATGAACCCATTTCTAGTAAGATATATGACTAGGTTTTGTTACAATGGCAAACATATTATCAAATAGCACAAATCCAGGTTAAATATTCGCTATATGTACATTTTCAAAACCATTTCGTCTTGTAAAACGAATGCCAGTATATGACAGAAATCTCAAACAGTATGTTTAGTTAATTATTATGTCTCACGGAAGTTCTAACATAAGTATGTCTAGTATAATAAGTTAACAACTGAAAGCAAATTAATAGAAATCATTTATTTGTAACAAAACTTAAACATGATTAAAATAGTTCAACAGCTCTACGTCGATGCTTTGTTACAGGAGTCGCTAAGTAAAGAGAATAATTAACGAAATATATCAATGCGAACTGAAATTGTCTCAGACTTGTAAAGCTCTTAAACGAGAACATTATATAAATCTGCCTGAATACCGGATTATATAACAAACATTCATTTAGATTTAGACCGCGGACCGTCGTGATGTAAGTTTTTATATAATGTTTAAGTAAACTGCGTGTTTTGTCGTGTACGGACTAGTGAATGTGATACAGGACCCTCCTGTGCTTGTGCATATTATAAAAGATTCCTAAAATAATTCACACAATTAAAATGCAATGACAATAAACTATTATTATTTCCTAAATTACGTTCAGTCTAATCCCTTCTCAAACGGCCAACACCTAAACTTACCTACTGTACTAAAAAAACTGGGTTTTCGTAGCAAGTTGCTACGCGCGCTACGGCGTAGCAGATAGCTACAGACACGGACGCTTTTCAAATTATGTTAGTACATACATACATATTAATTTTTTTTAAGGCAAGTGATTCAATTAATTGTGTGTAACAAGTAAAACCGCAGTATTGTGTAGTGTAATGGAGCCTCCTGCAGTCCCACTCATCGACACAAACTATCGACAATTAAAGTCGGCAGTTAACTTTACGATTGCTTCACTTTTTGGTTTACGCGATACCGCAGGGCTGGTAGCCACTAAAGTAAGAGTAGCTTAGTTATTGCATACGATAGATTAGATGAGGTAAAATAGATGAATATTATTAAATAAGTAACTCGGTAAGACTAAATACCAAAACCAAAATTTTGTTTACAGGAGCCATATGCCAGTATTTTGATTTTATCCAAAGTTTTGAATCCTTTGTCTACATGTGAACATTGTAAACTTCTGTCAGTTAATAGTAATGCTGTTGATCAGATATTATAATAAAAGATAGGGATCATCATTTACGTTTATAATCCCCATGTAAATACGACGAAACTTAATTTATCAGCAGGTAATATTATACCTGCACATTACTTTCGAGTGGCAACCCTATTTGATGGCTTCCTCGGAGTGGGCAGTTAAACGCAATTGACTCAGTTATGGGCATACGATTAAATACTTTATTTTGTCAGTACTCGGTATATAAAGGCTCCATTCCTGCCATGCCTCACAGTGCGTGGTAACCTTACAGAGGACGCATCGATGTAGGCAGAAACACGGAAATTAATTTAAAAAAGGAAGATCTTTAAACCTTTTTTAATTTATAGGGCGTCGGTGTGTAGGTTTTGTTACTGTTGTATCTTTTTAACTCTTTTTAACTAACTTTTAACAATTATAGAACAATAGGATATAAGTAACTAGGTAATATGTTTAAATAAAAGTTGTACGGAATACAAAACAAGGTCTAGTTTTAAAACCGTGTCATTTCTCGGGGGCATGTCACAGAAGTCATAAAGGTTCAATGTAAGAAAAAGTTTCGGGCCAATAGTTAAAAATACGGCTATAATAAATCGTTTAAGTTTGAAAGTATTTCAGAATAAGCGACAGCAATGTTTCTTATTTATTATGAAATCATTTAGTACTTCAAATCTTAAAACTCAGTTTCTCATTGAATATTAAAGTTTAAAGTAATATGGTTATACAATCTACTTCTGCACCTTTAACAGTACACGATACTGACAGCATTCACAGACCAAGCCACTTTGTAATTATAACTATGAGCATTCTCACAACATTCCCCAGTTTCTGAGAAAAACTAAAAATCCTCAACTTTCAGGCGAAG